AAGTTATGTCAATTATGTCACATATTACATGAAAAGTGGGCTCGTTCGTTGTGCATTTGGCATGGCACTTGTTCAGATGTAATCGCATATTAATAACAAGCATCTAAATGTCTTTGTCTGGCCAGCTAAATTCAGTCGAATCCGCGAAAGATGTTATGTCAGATATGTTCCCGAAATTACATCAGCTGTTAAATGCCAACCAACTGAAAAGTTGGCACAAATTCTATGTATTTGGCGTGTGTTTCAGCTGAAGCCAGCCGCAAGTATCGCATATTGTTCAACAATTGTTATTCATTTTTGTGGGCGGGTTATGTTCTGCCCGGGCAGCTCAGTATGCAACTCTTTGGCGGTTGCAAGGTTAGGGGCACGACCAGGCCAGGCCAGGCTAGGCTGGCTTACATTTGGGGGCATGTCATAATCCGCATTGGCGTGCCTCCTGCTGTCTTAAGCCGCCCGCCTGCTGAGCACACGCCCCGTTTATGCAACACGTTGCAGCCAGGTTGACACTTCCCTTTGATGTGTGCGCCACGGGTGGCCCGGGCCCCAAATCGCATCTGTTTGACAACTGGTATTGCACTGTGTTATGCCTTGCTTATATTCTTAGACAACGAATTATGCGATAATATTATTCTTAGATAAACAAACCAACACACTCGCACACTCGCACACACACAGACACTGACACGCGCCGCATTTTTGCAACAGCTCTGCTGCAACATTATGCGGATATGTGTAATAGATACTTATGCCGGAGACCCGCATCGAGTTACAACTCTTGCAGGGTTCCTTTCTCAACTGCGCTGTCAACTGCAGCCATCAACCTGGGGCAACTGACAGTCGCAACTTGGTCGAAACCATGAGAAAAAGAGATACACTTGCCACGGCGACAAGTTCAAAGCAAATGTCTGCTTACCCTGCCCCATTTCGCTCGATGGGGGGTGTGCTGGGCACAAGCCCAAAATACTCGTCCATAAATCAGCAAATTTAAGATCAAAACATGTACTGTACTTGTCATGGAACAATCAAATAGAACAAGTTGCGAATTATAACAGACAATTTCATTGAGGTTAGGATTCATTTGGATATTCGTTGGAGACATTATCATAGTACTGGAAAAAGTAAATGCTTTTGGTTTAAATGTTAAAACATTCAAGATCTATCTTACTTCATTGATAGATAGATTGGAACCGATCCCAGTTGAATGTAGCATAGATTTGAATCCATTTGATTCTCATTGTCTCTAGGAACATGCCTGTCAAATAGAATACAAAAATAAATAAATTGTGTTGTAACGGGTTTTTATCATTCGTCAAATATTTTTGCTTATTTCACCGAAGTTCTTAAATAGCCTGCCGTATTTATTTATACATTTTCTTATCTTAAAAGATGTAAGCATTTTCTTTTTCTTAGAATTTCTTTCCGACAAATATGAGAATTGAATTTCATAAAAATACACGATTCTCGACAGATAATTTGTGCAAGTCACAAAGTCTTGGATCTATATTGAGTGTTATTTCTGGTTCGAAATAGCTTCTAGAGAGCGCAAAGCCCGATTAAGTTACAAGCTATAGCTAATATAAAAATATTAAATTCAATATATATATACAAAAAAAATGTAAAAGCTAGATTAACAGTTTCGCAATATTGATAATATAATAATAAAAGATTTTTGATATTCTAAATACAAAGAATATTAAGAAATACAATTTTGTTTTTTAAATAATTTGGAAAAAAAATCATTAATTAATTTTAATAAAAACACAAGATTTAACTTTATACTTTACTCTGCGAAGCTTGAACAAGAAGCCGAGATATTCATAGATAGAGAAGAATGAGGAAAAGAGAAGGAAAAAAAAACAAATCTGGCAGCTCTCATAATAAAACGCGTCACTTGTTTGAATTAATTGACATTCAAATCAAATTAAACGAATGCGGCAACAAAAACAAGTGCGGCAAGAGCTAGAGCAGGAGAGAGGGAAATAGAGAGTGAGAGAGGCAGCGATAAACTGCGATCGAGAGAGAGAAAGAGAGAGAGAGAACCCGCTTCAATTTATGAACTGCAGCTCTGAAAAATGAATCGTGATTCATTTAGATATTTTGTTCTCCCCTCTTTCTGATTTCGACACTATCAAAATAGTGCACAAGGTCAATTAGTTAAAAACCAGAAAAATATAACAATTAAATATTGAATTTTATTTATCGATAATGTTGACTACTATTTTTATTATTTTTTTATGTTTATTTTTGGAGATTGCAAATGCAGCTAGCTTTGTCTAGAGCAGCTATTGCGTAATTTGATTTGAACTTTTTGTTTTCAATTTTTATGATTCTCTTTTGTTATTAGAAAAGTGCGTTGCGAGCGTAGAACAACCCCCAAGACCTTCCTGTTCCAGTTAGAAGACAATAACAAAAAGCAAAAATATTAAAAAAAAAAAAAAAAGCTGCTTGGCTTCTTTGTGTGTGCGTCTTCCAGGAACACACTGTGTGTATGCGTGTGTGTGTGTGCGCGAGTGTGTGAAAAGGATTTACGCGTTGTTTTTCTTGTGCGCTTCGCACATGGCCTCAGAGCAGATAGCTCAACAGATACCTGAGCTATTTTGCCTTCGACTCCGAATCAAAGACGAATGAAAAAAAAAATACTTTCAAGTTCCAACAGCCTTCAGGTGTCGTCATTTGGCTGCCCGAAGCTGAATCAAGCGAACTGATCCCAAAGAATTTGCTCTACATTTTTTTTTTTTTTGTATTTCGCTTCGAAGGAGGCCTACTCCTCGCATTGTTGTTTGTGTAATTGAAAAGTTTGAAAAAGGCATTTCAAATGCAGCTGCGTACAATTTTGCGTTTGTTTATTTGTAGACAAAAAGTACAGTCGCATGCAAAGCTTTACATAGCGCAAGGCTAAAGTAGCTTAAGGATCTGATTTTGGGTGCAGAAAAGGAAGCTGTAAACGAAAATGTCGTTCTAGGGGTTTGTTAGAAGTGAAACTTCAAACATGCTAAACAATATGGTGTTTACATAAAGCTATTTATGTTAAGTTGCGCTCTCTGTTATGAGCCTAATGTTAAGAACTGGCTCTGTTAACAGCACAGTGTTAATGTAAGTTATCCGGATAACCTTTTGAAGAATTGGACTGAAATAAAGTATTTAAGTTAAATTATTCTTATGCCCTAAACAAGCAAGATATATATGTACATTCATGATCTATATCATAACTTACTTGATAGAAGTAAACTCTTAACACTCTCCACACTCCTCGCCCAACTAACTACTTCCAGTCACTAGCCAATTACTGTTATGGCCAAAAAGACTCCACACACAGACATACACACATGCACACTAAATATCCGCTACCCTTCGATCAAAAATTCCCTCTGCTGCTGCTGCTGCTACTTCAGTTGAGCAAACCTGAAAAAAGGCGAAGCACAACTGCAAACTTCCCAGGAATTTGTTAATAGCTTTTTACCGATATCTTTTTGGGGCCAACCATTCGGCGTGGCAAGCGAAACCGTTGATTTTTATGCCGCATGGCCCGCGGGCCGCAGGCGAAGGTTCTGGTTCCACATAACAGGGCACCAGAAGGACGAGGCGAAGGCGGGGCCGAGGCTGAGCCTGGGTGCAGGCCGAGGTACAGGGCAAGTTAAACGAAAATAAGTAAAGAGTGCTCTAGACGGGAGTGCCCGGCTTTGAGGTACCCTGTTAGACGACTCTGTACTTTCGTTGACACAGCTGCTATGCTTCCTCTTCCTCCGATTATTATGAAATTTGAAAGGGGATCAAATGTGGATCAAAAGTAAAATATTCTAGACGAGTGCAGATACATAGATATTTATCGATATCCAGTAATATAATTGATGATTTAAAAAAACTTGATCAAGCTTCCAAACTTATAGACTCTGACTCTTAAGGCTCTCTGATCAAGAGCACACACACACATACATACATATGTGTGTATATCATTTATGGCTTGCGGATTGATTTCCTTTTACGCATTTGCAATAGCTACAGGGTATTCGAAAGAGAAAAAAAATATAAGAGACGCGCTCGCATTTTTCTAACGATTAAACAAATTCGAGGAAAAAAAGCGCATCCCATGCAACGCGCAGCCGCAACCTCAGCCGCAGTCGCAGTCGCTGCCGCGTCCGTCACCTGCAGTTTCCAGGAATTGGGAATTGGGCAGCGCGTCCAAGGCTAAGCACGCAAAGGCAGGGGAAACCGTAGACGCGGGCCACAGCGAAGACGCATACAAAAGTCGCAAAAAGTTAAAAAAAAAAAAAAGAAAACTAAATAAAAAGAAGTTAAAAGTTTTGGTTGCATCTCGACGGCGGCATTTTTGAGCGAGCGCCTAATTCCAGGAATTAAATCGTATATCTTTTGGCCTCTCCACACACACACACTCCCATACTCACACACATACTAAATGCTCGATTAATTTCTAATAAATTGGGCTGATGCCCGTTCTCTTTGGGCTAACAACGGAAATGCTGCAGTCGCAGTCGCAGTCGCAGCCGCAGTCGCTATCAATATAGAATTACCCATACGAATGCATTGCGTTCGATTTTGCCATAACTTGAGGAAATTTGAGGCTCCTACACAACTTTTTTCTCAGAACTTAACGAAGCTCACAGAGGCGAGATAGAGAAAGAGAGAGAGAGAGAGAGAGAGCGAGCAAGCTTTTGTTGCTTACGAGCTTTATATCTTATACAAGAGCTGTTGTTGTTGTTGTTGCATTTTACATTCGGAACTGAAGCTGAGAAAGTGCAAAGCAAAGCAAAGCAGGCACTGAATTTGTCTTCTTGTGTGTTATGTCAACAACGCATTCATCTTAACTAATCACAATCCAAACAATTTTTCTCGTCATTCTCGTTGCAGCATTTGTCGTGTTCGGAGTGCGCGTCCTGAAAATCAACTGCTCTCTCACAAAATAAATAAATATAAATAAATAAAAAGAAAGGTAAATAAATAAATAATAAAAGGCAACGTTGCAAGTAAATAATATTAATCGAAACCAGAAATAATTGAATAATTCAATATAAATAAATAATTTTATGCGTTGGCATCCAAAGTCGTTCACGCTTTACAAACGCAACAAACAATTGCAAAATTCCCTTTGGCTAAGAATTAATAGCGGCCAAATTGCTTTTATGCAAAGCCGGCTAATTAATTCGACGAAATTCCATTTTGGCAACATTGAAAACAACTTACAAATTAATAACAAACAATCGAAGACACATAATAATAACAAACCGAACGGTCCGCATATTGTGGACAGCTTCCATTGGCCTTGGCCCGATCCCTTAAGCCACATACGAGCGAGTCAACCAAAGGAACACAACAAGTACAACTAACAAAATGGATCCACAACAGCAGTTTTGCCTCAAATGGAACAGTTACTCGTCCAATTTGGCAATTACCTTCTCCAACCTATTCAAATCGGATCTGTTGGCCGATGTCACATTATCCTGCGATGGTGAGTACAAATCTCTCTTATTTATATATATAAATATATTTTTAAAAACAATTGTGGGTGCATTTAGTTAGCTTATTATTTTGAATTTGTTAAAATATTTTTATTTTGACACCAAATGCAATGTGAACTGCAGCAAAGCGACAAGCTTAGAATGTGATCTCTGTTCAATTACGGTTGAGGACTTATTTAATTATGGATCTCAGCTGAAGTGATAAATAAATATAAATTAACTATATTTGCTTAGGAATAAAATTAATTGAAACTTTCCCATTAACTTGAGACATTGAATTAAAAGTTCATAAAATATTAAACTTCAAATTTTGTATAATTTTTATATACATATATCTTATTAGAAACAAATAAATTTAAGAAATAAAATATTGCATACTTTCAAGCATAAATATAGGTAAAAAGTCCTTTTAAAATGTCTTGTTCAGATTATTGAAAAGCCTTTCATGCTTCATTAATAAGAATCCTAAAGCTATGCTAAATACTTTGATGAGAAATTCAGGAGAATTCGAAAAGCAGAACATGGTAAGAATAAAGGGCTAGTGCGCAAACCTCAAAATTTTAAATGATATGCAAGAGGCCCACGTTAAATTATTCAAAATGCCAAAAGTATGATATAAATTATATTTGAGCAATTTAAAACCAGACAAATGCGAAGTTTTTCTGATCAAATAATGATAGGCAAAAGATACCTCGTAGATTTCATCCAAGTTTAATTATTGAAAATTCTAAAAAATATTTTTGCTGAAAATTTTAGTGAGCAAAGTTTATAAGAAATCATAATCAGCAAAAAGGTGTACAGAAATTTTAACGAAATTAAAAATCACAGCATTTTTTAGGTCAAACTTAGTTTACACACATGAGCCCAAAGTTGAATTATTAAAAGTCCTAGAAATATGCTAGAAATCTTTATAAAAAAAACTTGCGAAATCAAAAACCAGAACACGACAGGAAATCGCATATTGTTTAATATAGGCAACTCCTAATTTTTAGATGATAAACTAGAGATACTCTGTAAATTTGTGAGTGTTAGCCAAAAGATGCCCTATAGATGACACACACTCAACTTGGGCTTACAATCAACAACTCGACTTGGTGTGTTGATAAGAAAAAGAGACGGAAGGACAGACAAAATAGATAAACAGACAATGAGACGGACGCACATAAATTGGGATTTTCTTGCCTTTTTGTTTTTAGCTTCATTTTCGTTCCGTTTGGCTAATAAGCCGCCAACAGTGGCATATAAAAGCCAAAAGGCGACCTGCGAATTTTGCAAACGCCCAAAAGCGACAGACATTGATTTTTCCGGGTACCCAAAGACGCGGCTCCTTTTTATGGGCCGTCTCGCTGTCTGCTGAGCTGTGCGTGTGTGTGTCTGTCTGTGTGTGTGTGTGTATGTTACTATTTCATTTACAGCATTTTACTACAGTTTTATGGCGGCTTATTAAGTGAATATAAATGTGGGCGAGCGCATGGGCATTTAGCGCAGTTATATAGGTACAAATACATATATAAATATATATATATATATATATTATATGTGTATATATTTGGCTTTTATGTAGGCCTGTGTGTCTTTAGTCTTTGGGCCAAAGAAATGCCGCCGCTTATTGTGTGAGGTCAGTGATTTTGTTGGGCGGCTTTTGATGCTGTGCCAGCTCATTTGGGACCCTTCGCGGGCTTCTGATTTGGCCTTTTGTGTGTGTGTGTGTCAGTGTGTGTGTGTCAGTGTGTGTGTGTCAGTGTGTGTGTGTGTGTGTCAGTGTGTGTGTGTGTGTGTGTGCGCTTGCCAGCATCTCGAAATAAATATTTTAATGTGTGCCTTTTGTCGCTCCAAAAAATCTTTGTTTAAAGTGCCGGCGCTTTAAATTGAAAATAAATAAATAAAAATTGCGCATACGCCGCGTCCGCCCGCGTCGAATAAACATGTTCGCCGCGTATTTACAGCAGCCGCCAGTTGTACGCTTCACATGTCTGTTTGTTGACGTACTCGTGCATATTTTGTTATTTTTTTTTTTAGTCAGTTGTGGATTCTATATGCTATGTATAATACCTTCTAGGAGTGCGGCTCAGTCTGTTGCCATACGCCCGGCCCGGCGGACTGCCAGCCCGTGTCAGGGGTATCCACACAAATCCTGGCTAGCCAAAAACCAGAAAAAAAGAAAACAATGCAAATAACAGAAATGCCCAAAAAAAAAACCCTCGCCTAGCTGCAGCCGTTGTCATCCATATCAATCGAAGTGCTACTACTTTTGATTAAAATTTTGAAATGCTTCCCCAAAAAAAAAAAAAAAACCCCAATTTTGTTTTTTTTTTTTTACATTGGGTTCTTGCTTTGTTTTGGCTGCTTTTAATTGTGGTTTTTAATATTTTGCGCTTTAAAATATCACATACTCGTATTCATATTCATATTCATGTTTGATTTCCCATTTCAAACTTTTGGTCAGGTTTCCTGCTTTTTTTTTTTTTGGAACTTTTTGAAATGCAGCATTAAATATTTGCCAGCCCTTCGAACAAAAGCAAATAGCGTATGTTTTCGATTGTTTTTTAATATTCATGTGTATTTTGCTTTGGTTTTTGAGCTGTTTTACAGTTCTCCTTTTTTTATATCTTGTTTTTTGGATTTGTAGCTGGGGCTACATTTGTCTCGTTCCGGGCATTTTCAGCACTTGAGAAATGAGCATTTTTGCGAAATGAACATTTGCTTGGCCTAGGGCCATTTCATCAGTTTTTTTTTTGAGGGTTGATTTTTACCGTTAGGCAACACACAGCCCCATTAACAAGTACTAGGTATTAAGTGTACTAATGGATTCGGGCATGTCACGGGCTTAGCTCTCAGGAATCTCCATTAATCGTGGGCATCTTTTTGCAGAGAAGTTTTATCAAAAATTTGCCAAAAATTTATCATGTACAGAATGCTTCATTGTATGCTTATCCACTTAAGTGAAGTTTTTAGACGATTTAAAGAAAACTTCTCTTCTCCCTTAAAGCAATCTAAGCTAGGTTTGAAGGCTTCTAAAGCTGTGACAGTTAAATTCAGCTGCGGCTATAAAAAACTACCTCTTTCCAAGTTATCTAGACTAGGCTTGAAAGCTTCTCAAGCTTTGCAAGCACATGAATGTGAAGCTTTTATGCGATTACATTTAGCTGCAGCTAAGGGTTTTTCTAACGGCTTTGAACAAAGCTAGGTCTGAAAGCTTCTCAAGCTGTGCAAGCTCATTAAAGCGCAGCTCTTAGACAATTTAATCAAGTTGGAACTTAAAGCTCATACATCTTAATGGCTTTTTTAATTGTGTAACTTATCAACTGGTAATGTGAATAAATACCAGCTAATCATATCTAACAACATTGGAGCTGCTATCTCATCATAGAAACCTTGACTATTTACAGCCATATTAAAAACAAAAACTTTGGCGCCGTTTCAATTCACTTCACTCACTTATGATCAAAATTCGAGCAACGCATTAAGACACATAAATGAATCAGCGAAACGATAAGATTGTGTGTTTTCCGAAACAAATAGAAAACGCCGAAGGTCGTAATAATTAATTTTAAAGTGCATTAAATGCGTTTCAGCTGAATAAAAAACCCCAAATCAAAACATATTTTTGTTAACAGTTATATATATATATACATGTCTAATAGATGTATAATTTATATATATATGCAGAATATGCGAGGCAGAACGTAAACAAGACCTGGCAATTAGTATGGCTTTGTTGTTATTTTGCTTCATTCTAATACACACATATATATATATTTTTTGTTTATCAACGAATATTCGTATAAATGTATAAAAAAATGTGCGTGTGCTTTGGTTCCTACAAGTTTTTTTGCGTTTTTCTTTGCGGCGCTTGTGACCCAATTTCTGTTGTATCAAGTGTTAGAAAATCAGCAAAAAAAATACGAAAAAACGAAACCGAAATAAAATTATAATCAACAACAACAACAAGTTGTTTATTATTTGCGCATGCATTTTGATTACACAAGCGAAATGTATTTGTATACCCTGTACTCAGTTGTGAAATAGTCGAAATTAAGGAACAAACTCTTATGATTGCATTCTTATTTACAAATTCATTTTATAGCAAAAAGTTATTTAATTTACAGATTTCTTTCTTAAGGAAATCGAAAATATTTTTCAAAAATTATAAAAAATAATATAATATATAATAAATATAAAAATGATAAATGCATAGGACAGATAAAATACATGAAATATAATGAACATATATTGGTACATATTATTGTATATATCTCAAGCTTGGCAAATAGAAAGAAGATATAAGGTATACATAAGATGGATAAAAAACATATAATGAAAAAATATACATATATATATATATATAAATTGGCAAAAATAATCTGTTTGAAAGCGGGCAAAGTCCAGACCTTGCTAAAAGTTTATCTGATTTGTATTGGATGTTTATTAGGAAGCTGGCGCTAGATATGCCAAGGATACGAATATAGTATCTATCTTAATATTAGGTATATAAATACATTGATATTCGTTATATAACGAATACCAATCGCGCAATTCCAAATAGATCATGCCTAAGATTAGACATATTTTGAAACTTGCGCATTGCCCAAGCAGATTTGGCCTCTCCTTCCCTTCCTCTCGCTCTCCATACCCCTCTTTTACTTTGATTTCATATATATACATATATTTGCTTTGCTGATAGGCCACGCTTATCATGCGCGAGTCGAGCAGAAATTGACACACATTTTCGCCGAAATAATTCGTCCAGCTGCACTTCGATTAGATTAAAGACACGCCGACTTACACACACGTCTAAATCTACATATATTTATATTTTTGCAGCCAAAGACTGTCCAAACTTTTGGCTTATATATGTGCGCTCTTGGGGCGTAAATATGTCAGCTCTGTAGATTTTCTTGCGAGTCGCAGCCGCGCCTCGCTGCTCGTTTCAATTTGGCTTAAGTACAGCGCGTGGCACAAGCCCAACAAGTGCCCCATAAAGTCAGCCCCCCGCACCCGGCACCCACCCTCTCGAATTACCCTAAGACCCAGACGCTTGCCAAAAAAAAAAAAGAGAAAAGCGTGAAAAATTGTAACAGTGCCAACCCAAGACAACCGAAAAGCACAGAGTGAATACCCCTACCCCAACAAAGGGCAAGCAGCGACTGAGTCAAGAAAACACATAAAAATATACTTAAATTGTCAGGAGGGTGTAGTCGCCGGCGGAGGGTAAGGGGAGGGGTGGGCAAAAGGGATATTGCGTATACGCCACGGCAGAAGCAGCAGCTGGGTCTGTGCGTCGCAGGTACACACACACACACACACACAAGACATTGAAGTTGATGAATAATAACTCAGTCCAGATGGGTGTGTGTGTGTGTGTGTGTCTGTGTGTGTGTAGTCAAGAGCAAGGAAATGATTTCCTTGCTCGACTTTTATTATGCTTTTGTGTGTATAATAACTGTGTGTGTGTGTGTGTGTGCGTGTGTGTGTGTGCGTGTGTGTGTGTGTGTGACATGATTTTTATGAGTTCAAGGTCTCTAAGCGTTTTACGCTTGCGGCGCCACCTGTTGCCCGCATTTTATAGCCACAACATACAGCCGGAAAGTATGCCACAGTTTCGTCTATTCGCAATACGCCCAAATCTGAGCTATGCCATTTTTTCCCGTGTTTATTTGCATTAAATTAGGAAAGGAATTGTTTGCAATATGCTTTAAAACCTCACGGCTTAAAATCAAATATTTGAATTAGAAATAAAAAAAAATTGTATTGTTAATATTAATTAATATCATATGACTAAAATAACCCCTCCCTCTTCCATTTGTTTCATGCACTTGCAGGCGCCGTATTTAGAGCACACAAACTAATATTGGCTGCCTGTTCGAAAAAGTTCGCCGATCTGTTCGAGAACACGCCCACAAATGGCCAGTGTGTCATCATATTGGAGGCGACCACGCCGGATAACATGGCCGCACTGCTGGAGTTCATGTACAAGGGCGAGGTGCACGTCTCCCAGGAGGCGCTCAACAGTTTTCTCAAGTCCGCCGAGAGTCTACAGGTGAGTCGAATACAAAAATGATGACAGTTATATGGGCAGCTTTATAACCTCGTCGCACACAGGTCAAAGGTCTGTCCACAGAGACCGGCCGCCTGGCCGCCCAGCAGGCACAGCAGCAACACATGGGCGGCGACAGCTCGCCGCTCGACTCACCCACCGGTCGGCGCAGCATGCGCAACAGCTTAAGCGGCAGCAGCGGTGCCGGCATTGTCGGCGGCGGCGGCGGCGGTTTGGTTGGCGGCGGCAACAGCGGCCCCATAGCCGGCGGCATGGGCAACGGCAATGGGCTGAGCCTGGCTGGCGCCTTGAGCGGCATGGCAGCTGCCGGCGGCATGGCCGCCGCGGCCAGCGTTGCGGCTAGCGGCTTGAGCGCTTTGGCGGCCAGTGCTGGTGCATTGGATCGCTGCGGCAGCGCCGGCGGCAACATTATCAGCGGCTCGGCAGCGGGCAGCGTTGGACCATTGAGCTCTGGCGCCGGCGGCAACGGCGGCGGCAGCAGCAGCGGTGGCGGTAGCGGCGGTGGCAACGGCATGGGCGGCAACAATGGACCCATCAGTCTGGGCAGCGGTGCTGGCGCCGCTATGCATTTGGGCGGCTCGACGGGCAGCCTGAAACAGGAATGCGACTCACTAATGCATGCGAGCAACTCCTCAGCGCTGGGCGCCATGTCCGGCTACGTGCCGCCCATGTACCACCGTCCGATATCCTTCAATGAGCCGCTGCGCAAGCGCGCCCTCCGCAGTCCCTATCCCGAACAGGAGCTGCGCGGCAGCGTACTGCGCGATGGCTCCAAGAACTCCTCGGAGTGCCCCAGCCCCATCAACAAGCCACCGTACCATCGGCCCTCGTCCAGCGCCTCCTCAACGGCGCCCACCGAGGCGGACACAATGCACTCGGAACGTGCCTCACCGCAGTCCAGGTAAGTGCAAACGCAAATTTCCCACAAAATCCATAAATTTTATTGTTGCCTTTCTTAATGGTTTCTATGACGAACATTTAAGTGAAATATTCAAAAACATTACTAGAAATTTATTGAATCTTGAATAGAATTTGTTGTTGCATACATCTAGGCGTTAGCAGTATTTTTTATTATATTTCTGGTTCTAATTGACTTGAATCCTTGACTTGATTTGCAGCCGTTATGAGAACCACAGTCCCAGCACCACGGCCGGCAATGGGAATGCGCCCAGCAGCCTGGATCGGATTGTCAAATCGGAGCGCAACAATGGCAGCGCCAATGAGGCTAATGACGACGAACGCGAACTGATGGACGAGTCAACAGATGTATGAGAATAACACACGCCTAATCGAAAATTGCCACGACATTTAACGACTCCCAAATCATATTTGCAGAATGGCGCCGAGGATTTGCGTGTGAAACTGGAGAATTCGAACTTTTCACCGCCGCCGGCCAACTCGAACACCTCGTCGACCACACCGAACACGCTGCTGGAGAACCTCAAGAACGCGGACGGCTCGCTCTCCGGCAACTTGGCCGCCTCGATAGCGCCCGCCGACATGCTGAACGTGTGGAACGCCACCAAGATGAACAACAAGAACAGCGTGAACACCGCCGACGGCAAGAAGCTGAAGTGCTTGTACTGCGATCGCCTCTACGGCTACGAGACGAATCTGCGCGCCCACATCCGGCAGCGGCATCAGGGCATCCGTGTGCCCTGCCCCTTCTGCGAGCGGACATTCACGCGCAACAACACAGTGCGCCGGCACATTGCCCGCGAGCACAAGCAGGAGATTGGCCTGGCCGCCGGCGCTACAATTGCGCCGGCCCATGTCGCCGCAGCGGCGGCAGCAGCGGCGGCCGCCAATCATTCACCATAGGAAGCGGCCGCAACGGCAGCGGCAGCAGTAGTCATGAGCGCCCACAAGGAGGCGGCAAAGCAGCGTAAACGTAAATCACTCAAAATGGCATTGGAGAAGTGCATGCAGCGGCGGGACGCGATGGCGTCCAGCGTCGAGGCGGCGACGGTGGCAGGCAGCGGGGGCGAGACTGCCACCAGTGGGGGCGCATTAACGGAGGAGGGCGACGAGGAGGCGGCGGCAGCGGCGGCCGCTGCCAGCGGGCTGCTCAGCTTTGTGCAGCAGCAGCAGCAGGTGCACCAGGAGCTGGCGCTGCAAATCAAGGCGGCCATGGCCGCCGAGCAGGAGCAGCACCAGCAGCAGCGCCAGCAGGCCGAGGCAGCGGAGGCCATGGACACCACGGCCAATACAATGGCAACAACCACAACGGGCAACACAACAACAACGACCACAACGGATGGCAGCGATGCGGAGGCCAGCGATGTTAGCGGCAGCGAGGCGGCAGTGCGAGCAACTGCGTCCTCTGCTGCCATGGACATTGATGAGCCGCTGCGTTCGCCGGAGCCGGAGTCCGAGCTGGTTGTGGTTGAGCCCAAGATAGAGCCGCTCTCGGACAGCGAAGAGGAGCGGGAGCACGAGCAGGAGCAGGAGCGGGAGCGAGAGCGGGAGGAGCGGCTATATATCGCAACATCCCCGCCGCCAGCCGCTGAGCTGCACCGCACGCCCACGCCCACCAGCCAAATGATGTTGCCACACGAAGCGCCCACATTGACCTCGACGCCCAAGCTCAATGTGGATGTGAATGAGCAGTAAGCAAAACCCGCCACAAGTCCCCCCACCCCCCCCCCCCCCCCCCCCCCAAAAAAAAGAAGCCCCTTTGAAGAATTTAATGCCACAAGCAAATATTGATTGAGTGATTGATAAAGAGTGATTGATTGATGTATAGAGAAGAAACGTTTACGCGCAGATCATGAACATCAGATGATCAGAACATGAAGAAGAAGAAGATAATGACTACTGTTGCAACTGTTGTTGCCCTCGGAGACCACCTACAAAAACAAAACAAAACAAAACAAAAAACAAAAATCAAGTCCCAGCCTTTGCAGACTGGGCGAAATGTCTACTATAAACTAATCTAACTAACTTTAAACATAACCCACACCACACTAACACACACGCATGCACACACACATACACACACACAGGTACACAACTGCAGTATTTGATGTTTAAATAATGAATTTTATGGACAAATTTAATTTCTGACAACAACAACAAAAACAACACAACAACAAATTAGCAAAAACAAAGCATAAATATTTTAATTTATTAAAGAGTATACAACAAATTGCAGTCCGGCTGAAAAATCGTTTTCAGGGTGCTAATTAATTAATAAATAAATAACTAACAAAAAACATGAGCAAGAAACTTGAAACTAAAAGCAAGAAAATAGTTATGCTTACGAAAAAAAGAGAAGTACATGAAAAGTTTGAACGTTTTTGATTGGTGCCGCCAAACGTAGCTGAAAAGTAAAAACAAAAAATAATAATAACCATAATAATAATAATAATTGTTTATGTATTTTGTATAATATAATTCACAATTATTGTTTGAAACATGTTCAATTTGTTTTTGAAAATAACACTAAAATAACCGCTGCAAGTTGCCTAAAATCAAAGTAAAGAAAAGACAGAATTTAAACTATAATTAACAACAAATCAAAACAACAAAATAGCTGCATACTACAACAAACCAACAACAAACTACAAACTACAAACTACAAACTACAAAGCAACAATAGCAACAAAAACCGTAACCACAAGTACCTGCAATATTTAAATAGTATAAAACAAATACAAAAAAAAAAAAAAAAACTAATACAAAAGCATTTAATTTTTGTATAACAAGAAAACTGAATTCTGTGCAGTCGGCTTTGGCAGTTTCTTGTCCAGTTTTTTGTAAATAATTTTATTAAATTTATAACACAGAAGGCAAGAAACAAACCTGGCTGGCTGTCACGCCTTCCCCAACCCCCCGCCCCCCACGCTGTGTGTTCTTTGCATTTATATTTAATTTTTCAATTTTTGTCAAACTCAAAATTCGCACACACGCAGTAACTTTTGATAACAAATTATATTTTTGTTTACTTACGTTTTTTTTTTTAACGTCAGCAAAATAAGTAAAACAATTGGTAAATTGGGTGCCTATAAAAAATATATAAAATTAAACAACTATTAGTAAAATTTTATAAACAAAGTGAAAAACAAAAAACAAAAATCTAACAAAATGCTTATATATTTAATCAAAGAACTAAAGTAAAAAAAAAATCTAGCAAAAAATAAATAAGAGAAACTTGTTAAAAGTTAAATGCAACAACAAAAACAACAACAACAACAAAAAACCACTCAAAAACGTTCGCAACAAACTTGACAAATCAAACAACAACAAAAACAGCAACAATTACAGCAAAAACAAAAATTCAAAATCGAAAACTTTTGGCACACCTTTGGAAAACATTTTTCAACAAAAAAAACCCAATTTTTCTTTATCACAACCAAAAATCAGAAAAAAAAAGATGAAAATGAAACAAAAAAGCGAAAAAGAAAATTTAACTTAAATTCTAAATTCTGTTTTTTCGGCTCCATATAATTTTTGTAACTAAAATGCTGTAAAAAAATCAATGAAAAATTCTTGTTGTAAGCAAATATGAAATGCCAAGGCCTGCGCCAACAAGTGGGCGTGGCACTGTATATAGTTAAAATACACACACAAACACACACACACACAGTTTAGAGTTTAAGGCTCAGTTGTAAAAGCATATTAAATGCCTAAAGTTAGGATCTACATATATATATATACATATGTATGTATGTGTATATATATATATTAAGCGCATATGTAGGAACACGTAGGCTCGCCAAAAGTTGCTTGCAAGTACATTTTTTCTTAGTTTTTCGTTTAGTTTTTCCTTTTTCCTTTATTTTTTTTTTAAGTTGACACAATAGTGCAAGATTTTTGTTTACATACAACTACAGGGTGATACACACACACGCACACACACACACACACTACAATAGCTGACTACAACAAAAAAAATAACACTCAAATAGTATTCAATTAATGGAATAGCCAAATGTTAAAGTATATGAAAGATCTAGTTACATACTATATATATATTCAATACAATACACACGCACGCACACACACATGCCGCTGGCCGCGCAAGTGCAGACTGTGAGAAGCGCATAGAACGGCCATGCGGTGCCGTTACATTTCTTTCTGTAGTTCTTACGTAATGTACCCAAAAACCCAGTTTGTTCTGTGATGTGCAGCGTCCGAACCGCGTTTGGCGCTGCAAAGTTTTTGTTTTCTTTTAATTTTTTTTATATAGTTCTTCGATCCTGCTTTTTCCTAACCGTAAATCGAACAGCAAACAATAGGAAAGAAAAGAGAATATATTGAAAAATAATTGCAATAATTTAATTTTTTAAAAATTACAAATACTACCAAGTCTCTTAGTGAAAGTTTATGTGAATTCACAAAATATATTTCGATTGCTTTACATATCCTAACCACCCCACCCCCCACGCTCAAAGCCTGACCACGCCCACACTGTGGGCCTGCCGCCTGCCGGCGCAACGTTCTCTGGAGTCTGAATTACATATTATTTTTAAGTACGTTGCCGTCGGTGGGCGTGGCGCCAGCACAGCTGCGGGGCGTGGCACATGGCAGAAGGCGCAATAAATTGCATTACACATATTATGTTGAAAATATAATATACTTATTAAATAGTTTATATCTCGTCGTCGGTATGTTTAGGTATTTGTTTTTAGCACTTAGTTTTATGTTTAGACTTGTGCACATGTATATGTGCATATATGTATGTAAATCAAACTCAGGAACTCATATACCTCAGAATCGAAACTACCTCTTTGTTTTTCCTTATGGTTTTTGGCAAACAGCTGCAAGCAATATACATACTATATATATATATATATATATATATATATATATATATGTATATGGAAAACATCAAAGTTTAATTTGAAGATGCTAATGAAATAAAACACACACAGCTTTAGTTCTTAGTTATGTATTTTCGTTTTAGTTTATTTTTAATATGACGTTAATTCTAAACAACTAATATTACGCAACAATGCAAAAGACACTTGCAGCACACACACACACGCACACACACACAGACACACACAAGAAACAATAGCAACTAATTACAAAACAACAATAAAATATCGAACTGCAATAGTTAACGAAACTACCTCAACGGGCCCCCAATAGACTGCGCATATAGTAAATATATCTTAAATTTAAAGAAAAACAAATCAAAAACAAAAACAAAAACAAAAACTTAAAAAATGTCCTTTAAGTTTTGTTTGTGAAATGGTGACACACAGGCTGCAAAGTAAATCGATCGATAGTTCGACACACACACACTCATACACACACACACACACACACACACACACACACACACACACACACACACACACACACACACACACACACACACACACACACACACACACTTAAGCACACACACCTACACAACTTTTGGCTTTTCATTTCGAAATATTTACAAAAACAAGAAGTAACAAATTCATTTGCAACACATTTTTTGGCTTAACAACAAAAACCTTAACTAAATTTGTTTGTTAAAAAAAGAAAGAAGAAGCACAACAACAACTTTGGCAAACAGGTTTTTTTTTGGCATTAGGTTTTTGTAAATATGCGCTAAATTTAACACAAAATTTCAACAAATAACAAACAAACAAAATGATGAACATTTAATGTAAAATTACAATCTTTGGCTATACTAACTAACTAGAACTATGACTAAAATTTTAATATGTATATGTGTCTAAGTAAAAACAATGTGTATACATACAATTTCGGCAAAGCAACTGAAAGAGGCAAAAAACAAAACAAAAACAAAACAAACAAAAAAAAAACAAAAAACAAACAAAACTCTACATTTAATAACTAAAAAATATGTAAACAACACACGAGAAAAAGAATACAAAGAAATTATTTTAAGGCTATTCAAATTATAAAAACTTAAAATTTCAACACACACACACACTCACAAACATATGCTAAATAACGGTATACTTTTGGTAGAACTACGCGTAACTGTCAAAAAAAAAAAATAAATTTTGTTGACAGCCCAAAAAATAAAATATAAATTCAATTTGAAAGCGCAAACCACAAAGGTTATAAAAACAAAATATGTAAAAAAGAAAATTACAACTTAAAAAAAAGAAACCTTTCTTAAAGAAATTTTTGCATAAACGCAAAAACTAAGCATATAAACAATTTTAGGCTTAAACTTTCGGCTACAAATTACAAGAAAAAAAAAGAAGAAAATCGTAAAAAAAAAAAACAAACATATTTTTATGTAAAACTTAACACGAAAAAAAAAAAACAAATACATAAGGCAGAACATTAAATATATATTGAAAAAGGAAAAAAACAAAAACAAAAATTTAACAACCAGATATTTGCATAAATATTTATTTAGAGCGAAACATAAAACATGCAAATTTTTTAGGCCCAACTTTCGACAAAAAGCGGCCTAAAATAATTTCTTTGTAAAAACGTAAGTGCAGCAAAAAATGCATAAATTAATTTAAAAAAAAAAAAAAACAACAACAACAACACATGTCGCCATTTTGCATTTAGAGCGTTAAAAGTGAAAAGAACAGCAACAAAAATTAACAACAATTGAAAGCAACAACTTTTAATGTACATAAAAATAATTTAATAAAAATTACAAAATAAAATCTACTTGTGTATGTACGATATATATATATATATATATATATATATATACAACTATGTAATTTTGTGTTTATACATTTTTGAATGCTGTAAAATTGTTTAATTTTCACTTAATTTTTGGCTAATTTTTCGTTGTATAAATTAATTTCTAAGCAAAGTTTTCAAACACGCAAAAAGAAACGTGAATTATGTGTAATTGTGCACAGGTACAAAAAGTTAAATTAAATACAACTATATATATATATATATATATATAAACTAAATATATATATAAATAATCTAACAATTGACAAAAAATAAAAAATAAAAGAAAAGAAGAAGAAGAGAACTATTGAACTAAAGTTCGTTGTGTGAGAAAACGTTGTATGTAATTTTTGTTATATATTTTTGTTAATACTTGTTTTCTATTAATATTTAGTTGAATATCGTCAAACACAGAGAAAAAATGCTAACGACAAGCCAATTGTACTTACACAATTATTTCACATTCATTATTTAACGCGTACACTCAAAAAAAAAATACTATATATACTTTACTTTAAATCAATAACAAATAACAAAATGTTCATATAAATTTAAATTTAATTTGATGCGAACTTCCGTGTGTTTTTGTTTTTGCTTTCACAACAAAATCTATCTAAGTTATTTGAAATAACTATAAAATAAAGTATCAAGAAGAAGATGAAACCGAAACGAAGTTAATTTTAAGTGTAAAATGTATGTAAAATATGCTATTTTATATTATATTATTTTGTAACATTATGTTTTATGTTGTACAATTTGAATTTTGTTTAAATCAGCACGCAAATTGGCTTGTTTTACAATTTCTTTTAATTTGTAATGTTTATGTTTAAAAATGGACAAAAAAAAAAAAAGAAAACTAAATTTATAATATATATACACACACAAACTATATATATATTTACGTAAATTCTAAATTAATGCAACTAAATAAATGTTAAAAACCAAAAAAAAAAAAAAAAAAAAACAAACAAAAAAAAATTCGAATAATTGGCAATTTTTATTGGTATCTAAAACAAATTTCCTTAACAAAATTGTTAAACAAAATTTATATATTTTTCATTTCTTCATTTTCCTTTAGCACGCGTACAAGAAATTAATTTGTTTACATATATGTGTGTGTGTACAAAATACATGCATATATATGTAAAGGCAAATACGTATACTACAACAAGAGAAAAGAAAAGAAAAGAAAAACAAAAAGTAAAAAATAACAATTATGGAAAATATGTTTAGGCCTAAGCGACTTTACAGTTCAGTTCAGCGTTTAAAACATATGGCTAAATATTAGGTTAAAACCTTAGAAAGTCCATGTTTGTACTCAGCTACACACACACACACACACAAAAACACAAACACACACACACACAGAGACACTCCCCTCAACCCCTGCTCTCTATGAATGTGTAAATCAAGTTGTTGTAAATTTGTCTAAATGAAAATCGAAGCGAGTACAAATTAAATTTAATATATGTGTGTACTTAAACTTCATTTTGTTTTAAAATTATTTTTCTTACGTATTTTCTTCTTTATTTGTATTTAAATGTAGGTCACACTTAAAGGAACAAAACAAAAAGTGAATACAAATTTGAAAAAGTGAACAATTTAAGAGAAACAAAAAAAAAAAAAAGGAAAAGACATACAAAAACTTTTGGAACAATGACAAGTACAAAATTTCAGGTAACACAAAATTTAGCAGTTAAATTTTAAATTAACGAATATATATTATGAAAATGCGTACAAATTTTTCGGCAAAAAAAAAACAAAAATTACAAAAAAAAAAAAACTATAAATTTAAAATACAAAATATATAAGAGTTAAGCAAATTATAAAAGTTTGGACAAATGGTGTGACATTAGGACGATTCAGTTGACAACACGAAACGGAAACTTGTCTCTTTTTTTATTTTAATTTATTTTTTAAATTACAATTATCAGCTTTTGATTTTTCACAACAAAACTTGAGTTACACATGCAAAAAAAAAGAAAATTTCAACAATGCGCTGAACTGCAAAGTGTGCAAAATTGAGACATAGAAAAACGAAATAAAACTTTTTGATTTTCATTTTGGCAAGAAGTCTTTAAGAAATGCAGAGCGTAGAAAGTCCACTTGAAAATATTATTGAACTATGTAAATGTACTCTAAATACTTAAAAGGCGTGTACATATACATATATATATATATATAAATATATATATATATTACAAGCGTAATATAAAAATAAAATCCGTATGGAGAAAACTCAGGGCATTATCAAGACTCACGACGATGTATACATGCATTTAATACCAATAAAAAAAGGGAAACTTTAAAACTAAAAAAAAAAAAAACATAAAAAAAGAACATTTTTTCGATGTGTATTACAAGTAAAAACTAAAAAAAAATAAAATAAAAAATATTTTAAAAACGAAGCGAAATTGTAATCATGCAAAAACGATTATGAACAACTCAGGTATTAAAATTAAATGAAATATTAAAAAAAAAAAGATCCAAGCAAAAGCAAACAAGGACAGTCTAGTCAACGTTCTTTTCAAAAAGTTGTGCAATATTCTTAATGTTTTTTCTAAATACGTAATAGTATTAATCAACTAAAAAACTAAAAAAAAAAAAAACCAAAAGCAAGGCGAAGCGATAGATAATATGTGAGTGTTCATAAGGCCAAGACCCGAGTTAGGCATGCGATTAGGGATAGATAGGGATAGAGCGGGATGGTGAGTTTTTGATGCGGATGGCAACTTAGCAAATACATATAACATATGTAATTGCATAATATTATTTATTTCATTGACAAATGTTTTATTTGTTCTGTTAATAACAAAGCCACAAACACAATGCTACAACTACAACCACAACAACAACAACAACAACAAATACAACTACAACAACAACAACAAGCACACAGTCACAAGCTACACACACACACACACACACACACACACACACATACGCTCACACACACACACAAATAGTGAAATAAATAGCTAAATGAAAATGAGTTTATATAAAGAAGGAAAACATAAAACTGTGATTACATTTGATTGTCGATGCGTTGATAAGGAAATGTTGCATAATTAATGATTGATTGAAATACGAATGAAAAGAATGTAAAGTGAAATGTCAAGAAAAGTAACGAGAAATGGAATACTTATTTAAACAGCTTATGATTTCTTTCTACGAATGCTTGATGCATAACTAAATAAATATTTAACTAGCCGAAATATTAAACTTCAAAAGAACTAATGAAAACGAAAAAACAAAAAAAAAAAAACAAAAAAAAAAAAAACACAAATTATAATTACTTATAAAATGATTTGAGTATTAGAAAATAATGTGAACCATGCATATGCAAGTTATTTTCCAGACTTTTTTCATTTCACAATAAACTCTTAACCATTTACCATTTGCTAAAAATCTAAAATTCAATTTAGTTCACATTCCACTGAACACTTTCTGTATGTAGTGCACTTTAGTTAAAAATTAAAGTCTGAGATTTTACATTTATATGGTCAAAGTATACACCTAATTAAAATTATATAAAAAAAAAACTCTAAAAAAAAGTGAAAAAAAAAAATAAAGAATGACTAAGTTTATGATTATTGAACAACTTATGCGAGAAATAGAAAAGCACACACAAAACAAACACACACTCACACACACAACACACATTTATATTTGGCTATATACTATAAATGTATGAAAAGAAAATTGAAATGGAAATTAATTGTGTAAGAAAAGTAAGGAAAGCAAGGAAAGGAAACTAAACTGTATTTTCACTCCGTGCGTATGATTTATATATATCTGGAATATGTGCAAGCGAGAAATTTAAGTAAACAGCTTAAATATATTTTTAATGACAATTCGGATTAAAAATTTACGATTATGGATAAACTTTTTGTGTAAAATATAAAATCTAAGCTATACAAGAGAAAACCAAAAAAAAACAAAAAATATTACAGAAAAAAACGCATTGTAACAAAAACTCACACAGAATGGAAATGGGGAAGCAGATATTGAACATAAAAAGTATATGAACGGAAAATCTAAATTCAATAAACTTGTTGCTAAAATATATAAAAATAAAAAAAGTAATATTTGTTTAACTTGCATATTTAAATACACTTTGAATTTAAATGCTGCCCGCCGATAGGAACAACAGACCAGCCGCCCAATCGATAGGAACTAGCTCACGCACTTATCGATAGGAACTATCGGCATAGCGCTGGTCGCACACAACAGCTGATTGCTTGTGTGCGCAACCTGTGAATGGTCAGACGCCATTGTGTTACGTGCTGACGAATCGAGTAAGTGGAAATTTGTTGTTAAATTTAGTTGCTTGTAGTTAAATTTCAATGCAACTGACCAATGACAATTTGTAGCTCTTCCTAAACATCGATTCAAAACAACTTGAGGACGCATAACATATTAAAAACCACACAACAAGCACAAACACAAAACAAATAGAAAAAAACAGTCACAGTTAACAAAATGGTGAGTAATACGAAAGATATGAAAACAATGTGAACAAAACGAAAAACAAAAAAAAAAACAAGTTATTTGGCTGTCGCCCTATTGTGAAATATTGCTACACGATATAAATATATTCGAAAGCTGAAACATTGGGGCGGGTAGTTAGTTGGCCTGCGACCTAAAACGATGCCCATATATGGTAGTAGTCGTGGCGTGCCGGTTGGAAAGGGGCGAGGCGGGGAGGATGGGCCACTTATCAGCAAGTGTGGCAAAATGAGTCAAAGCGAATGAGGAAACATTTAATCCGGTGTTCAATCAGCATATTTTAAACACTTTCGTTGCTTACAGTCGGAAATGCAAATGGATTGTGCGTTGGATCTGATGAGGCGACTGCCGCCCCAACAGATTGAGAAGAATCTGATTGACTTGATTGATTTGGCGCCCGACTTGTGCGAGGATCTGTTATCGTCCGTGGATCAGCCGCTGAAGATAGCCAAAGATAAGGAACACGGCAAGGACTATCTGCTGTGCGATTATAATCGTGATGGCGACTCGTATCGCTCGCCCTGGTCCAACTCGTATTACCCAGCGCTGGAGGATGGCCAAATGCCGTCGGAACGTTTACGCAAACTGGAAATCGAGGCGAACTATGCATTCGACCAGTATCGCGAAATGTACTATGAGGGCGGTGTCTCCTCCGTTTATCTGTGGGATTTGGATCACGGTTTTGCCGCTGTGATACTCATCAAAAAGGCCGGCGATGGCAGCAAAATGATACGCGGCTGCTGGGACTCGATACATGTGGTGGAGGTGCAGGAGAAAACAACGGGGCGCACCGCACATTACAAGCTCACTTCAACGGCCATGCTGTGGCTGCAGACAAACAAACAGGGCTCGGGCACAATGAATCTAGGCGGTTCACTGACTCGCCAAACGGAACAGGATGCCAATGTGAGCGAATCCTCGCCGCATATCGCAAACATTGGCAAAATGGTCGAGGAGATGGAAAACAAAATACGCAATACACTAAACGCAATTTACTTTGGCAAGACCAAGGACATCGTGAACGGATTGCGCAGCACACAGTCCCTGGCCGATCAGCGGGATCAGGCCGCCATGAAACAGGATCTGGCAGCAGCAATATTGAGGCGCAATGTCAAGCCCGAATCGAACTGAGCTGTTGACGCCTCCGGCGCTAACCGCGTTTATAGGGACAGTAATCGAATTGGCCGCATAATTCAATTTCATTATGAGCATTACCAACTACCAAGTAACACAATGCGCATTTCTAGGCATTAAATTTGTTAACAAAAAAAAAAAAGAGATAAACATTAATAGAAAACTTGTTAAATGAAAGAAGATAAAACGTATGAATGTAAATTGACTGCCCCGATTTCTACTAACCCCCTCCTCCAACCGCCTTGTTGCAATTTACATAAATTTCAAGTCCACACTCGTATATGTCGCGCCAGCTCTGCCGCCGCCCTTTAGACAGTATCTTTAAGTAACTTTGAGTATTTTGTATCTGTATAATGCATATACAATGATTTGTATCTGAAAGTCGATGCGAAATTGTACGGATATCGCTTTGCGCGATTCATTTGAAAGCGATTCGATTAGTTTGCATTTGCATTTTTCTTTGGAAACGTTTGCTGCGTTCGAGAATAAATAATTGTGTTTATATATAAAATAAAATAAAATAAATAATGTATGTATGTGTATTCTAACAATAAGAAGCTCGAAGCATAAATTTTACATTATGTACTTTTACTGAAACGCTCTGTATTATGTGAAAAATACACATTACGTATCGATCAGAGAAATCTAATTCTAATTTATGGCCTAACAAAAGGGAAGGTGTCGCACGGCATGAAAACAAAACCTAATTGAATGCGACACCTAATCGATCGTTGGTTTCTATGGCAACATTATATCAGAAAGTAAATGTGTTTAGTCGTATTTGTTTACTTTTGTCTAGCGAGGGTTACGTACATTATATACCCCACAAGAGATTTTAGAATGCTTTCTATAGCTATTATATAATACAGTTGTACGAATTTCTGAATTGGCACGCGGATTTTTTTATATTTATTTATACAATTATTTATGTTCGACCAATGCTTAGTATACAAATCAGATTCTATCGATACCCACCCGTTCCAATTATGCAGAAACATATAATCTCAACTTCTGCCTGCAATAGAAATAACAAAAGAAGTTTTTGTAAGTTTTGGTTTGGTATGGCTATACTTTATTTATTTTTTAATGAAAAGTCGCAAACTGCGCTACAAGTTACAATGTGTTTCTTTCATTTTGAATAAGATTAGATGTGTGGCCTTATATCAAATCCATGAATACAAATACATTTTAATCGGTAAATCGAATTGAAATAATTTCCTGTTATGCGTTTCGTTCATATGTTTCTTTTATCATGATTATTACACACATATATATATCTTTATAAATATTCTTTCCTTGTTGTATTATCAACTATATACAAAAAACGCGACAACTTTGATGCACGTATTGATAGCAACACCTTGTGTGTGTGTGTGTGTGTGTGCATGAATGATAAAGTATATAGAGAATTATAATAGAACTTTTATGAGAAGAATCGTTTTCAGTTTTCAATACTAACAAGTAATTCGTCGCTCTAGATATCTACAACTTAAGCTAGTGATTACGAATAAGTTAGATTTATTTAGTTAGAAGTCCGAAAATTAGATTACGTTGTTTTAGATACAATATTTTACACGGGGATGCTCGTAAGACGTACTTTTTGACTGACTGAAAATGTGATTCGTGGTTGAAAAACAAGCAAGTGAGGGGAGAAGTGAGCTACATGATGGCCTGTAGAAGAGCAGTAGAAGTCCAGCAATTAATACTCTTCGGCTGTCATTAGTGCGTTCAACAGAAGTTATAAATAAATGTGCTACACATATATCCATATCCATATATGTAAAAGTCTCTTAGGTACACAGCAGACGTGGCAAGCAGCTTATTGCATTTTGGAAACTTCAAACTTGGTATTGATGACCTCCTCATCGGAATCGAGCACCGGTAACGCGGAATCGCCCATTGCTGATGGTATATTCTCCTCCACCCAGCGCAAGTCATCCTCCTCGGTGGTGGTGGCCGCCCGCGAATTCGCTGTTGTTCGATTTGTGCCATTTTGATGTAAGCCACGGTTCTTAACGCCATACGCATCTGCCACAAACTGATCCTCTTCATCTGTAATAGATACCAAGCAGCGTTAGTTTGAGCGTGTTGCTCTCTGGATGGCAGCCTACCATCATCATCCTCATCCTCCGGATTGTCTAGCAGTGGCGTAAACGCATAACGCTGATTGTTGTTGGTGGGTCTCCACAGTATCATGATAACCAGCAACAGCACAGAGAACAAAAAATGCCAGAAGCCCGTATCTATCCAGATATCATGCCAGCCCTGGATGAACAAAATGAATAGGTTTTATATATTCCTGCCAAGGCAGTCTGGAGTCTCATGAGCTTACGGGCGTGCAGTTTTCGGTTCTACGCAAACGCAAGGCAAACAACATGAAAATAACGGAAGTGATAACAGCGAATATCAGCGTATTGGTGAAATGTCTGTACAGCGATAGCTTAACCATATTTCTGAAAGTACAACATTGAATATAATAATGAAAGTGAGTGTATATTATGTATGTACTTACCTGCGCAGACGCAACGTGCGTGTGGTCTGCACGAGCGACGTAAATATCCACCAGCAAATGACTGTATCCAGTACAGCCAGTGGGATGGTAGCCAACAGCAGCTCGCTGCGATCGCTCTTCACCCTGGTAATGCGCAAGTAGCTCTCCACACAGGCCAATATAAAGTACAAGGTGCCCATGCCCACCACGCGATGTAGCATGGGTCCCAGTCGCGGTCTGGCAAAGGGTAGCAAATAAAATATGATTAGTCGGAGCCTATAGCTTAGTTCTTAGCCCAGTATATTACTTGACTATGCCAAAGCCCAGACTCATTATGATGACCAGCATGCGGGCCAGCGTGCGCTTAGCACAAGACACGAATTCCGCAACGAGCTCGGCGTGCTGCACTGGAAAGCCAGTATTAGCGACTGTCTGATATTCCGCATAGAAGAATGCTTTCTCGAGCATGCCCAGCAATATGACGCCGCCAATCCAGAATTGTATGCGCAACAGATCGCGCCATTGTGCGAAGGATACGAAAAGCCAAATGATGCCAAAAATGACATAGACAACGCACATTATCAAATAGAACTGCAAAAGATAATTTCCAGTTATATTGTATATTTTAACAGATGAGACTCGGAAATTGTTTTACCGGCAAGAATGGCCAATCGATGGCTGATATATAGCCATGCGGTCCCAGAAACTCAATGCGCACCGCTGCGCGAAAAGATTGGGCCGGCGTCGTGGCTAAAATGGTCAGCTCCACCTGGTAGATGCCATCGTCAGCAATACTTGCAATGGGTTTGCGAGTTGCCTATAAATGCAAAAAGTAATTATTTTTATACGTTAAGCAAGGGGTTAGGAAATGCGCGATGACAGACAAATGATGTCTGTCTATTTTCTCTGTTTAAACTTATCTAATTTGGCAATAACGAACTTCTATAGCAAATAGGAAGGCAATTTAGATTCTTTTTAAATGAAACTCTTGTGTCTGTTGCTATCCGAGCTAGTCTCTCAGTCTCAAATCAATTCGTCTTGCTGTTGCAGCTAGTCGTATCTTGGAATCGGCCGGATCGGACCACTATATAGCTTAAGCATAACAGGTCAAAAATTAAGTTGTATGAAACTGTTTTGTTTTGCATGATTTTACTGGTTTCTCTGAACTGCTTCTTACTCTATAGAGAAAATCGGTCAGTAAGAATTTTGTAAGCTTCTCTGTTTTATCAATATATTTCGATAAAACTCTTTAATTACAAGCTTCTATTCTCCTCACAAGTCCGCAAACATAAATCTAGTAGCGCAATGAATTCTTATTTAAATTAAAATTCACCCTTGGTGGTCTTCGGATAGTTCTGTATCTGTTCAATCAATTTTATTATTGTAAACAAGCAAGCAATACCCTAACAAGTGTCCCTTGAATTACTCATGCATTTATTCTTATATATCAACAGTCGAGTCTTTGTATGGCTTTTTTCTTCTCTTTAATTCGCCGGCTTCTATGCCAACTGTTATCTAAGTTTCTTAAGCTGTCTATATATCTAAGTACATAACACATTTGTCCTAACTGACGAATCTAACCGAAGGAGAGTACTATTTAGCTAATTGTTACATATTATTCCACTAGGAAGGCGTGTCTCTACTTTTCCAGGAAAGGTGCTGATAAGATTCTTTGCCCGTTCATGCTTGCAAATCTAACATATGTATGAACATATAAAAACAGTTAAGATACAACTATTCTTTCGGGTAGTTGGTTTCCCTAGAACATTATCAGCACAGTTTAACTTCCGTATGGAACACACACAATCAAAGTACGATATGTGAAATTCTTGATAACATTAAGTATTTGCGTTAGGAATTGTTATTGTTGCTGTGCGTGAAACTCAAACTGAGTCACGCACACGCTCACACAGACACTCGGACTTGCTGAAATGGCAATTACCGATAGCGGATGTTTGGTCTGCTTTAGAGGGTGCACATCCTCGGCCTGCAGCTCGGTGGCCGCGTCACTGGCGTCGGTGAGGGCAATGAGATGCGTGCAGTTTACATTGGTTGTTGTCGATTTGATGAGCTGCCTGAAGCTAGCATTTTGCTGGATATTTGGATTGTCGCTCAGCACTTGCAGCTAGAAAAATAGAAGATATTAATAATTGCATTGCGTTGATGATTTCACAATTTTCGCTTACAAAACGGCCCTCGTACATACATCGATGTTTGGTCAGCTTGAAGTTTATGGTTAGTGGAACTTCCCCCTCGGACAAGCACTCCACTTGATGGACGGTGCAGGGGGTGGGTGGAGGTAGGTGAGAAAATGTTTTCAGTTATTGCGAATTGGTCACGTTGCAATTTTGATGCTTACGTTTTATGTATATCTTGGTGTTGGCCAATAAGGGACGCTGTTCGACAATCGGTTGCAGATCCTCCTAAATATGATTTTGTTGTAGAATTAACCATATTTACATTGGATTGTTTGCTTTTCACCTGCTCTATGACAACGTCAATGATACCGGGATCGGATTTGCCAGCCGCCAGAGTGGCAAAAACAGCCAGCAGCGCCAACGTGACTGTAAAATGCTTCCACATTATATATACGTCACACAAATCCACTTAAATAAATATTTATTTATTTTCTTCTATGTTGCTGGCTACGCGTTAGAACAATACTAGAAGTTATCGGCAGACGGCCTATCGATTGTTGTTGTGTGTGCGCAGTCGAGGCGGAGCCGGTGTCTGAACATTTGATAAGCGATGCAAATAAAGTGGTAATAACCAAAAAACATATGAGTCAGACGAGTAAAAGTTTTTAATTGTACTTATTAACTAAATTTAAATTACTATTTACTTTAAGCAATTTTGCTATATTTATCGAACAGCTGTTCCAATTGCATCAACAGAATTGCCAAAAATATTGCCAGTACCAACATAGCATAACAGCACTCGTTCGCTGTGAATGGCAATGTTGTCGTTATCGGCCTATCGAATAGTCTCGAATTTTGCATTGAGTTTTTTGGTATTGCAGCTCGTTCCAAATGTTTTTATTGCCATAAAACATGGTAAATGTTATGAAAGGCGTGCTTGTGGAATGGTAAGTGTACAATTTGAAAGATTATTCAATATTTCTAAATAAGTTCTCGACAGTGATCCGGCTATGAAACAATTTTTGCTACATTTGGATGAGAAGCTGGCGTTGGGTCGCAAATTTATCATACAGGACTTGGACGAGAATCATCTGTTCATCTCCACGGACATTGTTGAGGTGCTACAGGCGCGCGTTGATGAGTTAATGGATCGCATCAACTTTCCATTGCACGAGAAGGACGCCTAAATATTATTTTAAACACAACAACTGCTACAACCAAAATCATGACGGGACGCGAATCGCATCGCATCAAGGATGCGGAGAAGAAACGTGTCCTGGATGAAGCGGCAAGACAGCGGCGCGCACGCAAAGCTCTGGAGGCGCTAGAGCAAGATAACTTTCAGGACGATCCGCACGCCGATCTGGTCATGTCCAAAAAGTTACCCAAGTTCCAGGACAGCATCAAAATTGGCAAAGAGAAGAAGGGCAAGCGCAAGGGCGCCGAATACTTCCGTGCCAAATATCGCAAGAACTTCCAACAACTGCTCGAGGAGGACAAACAGAAACCCAACTATGAGACTGCAGCCGCACCGCCGCCCAAAAAACCAGTGCGTCATTTCTGTGCCGTCTGCGGCAACTTCTCGCAATATTCCTGCACCGCGTGCGGTACGCGTTATTGCCGCGTTCGCTGCCTGCGTACACATCAGGACACTCGTTGTCTGAAGTGGACCGCCTGAATTTGGTTGTAGAGCCACTCATAACCCATCCAAAACTATTTTGTTTTGTAATCATGCAATAAAACGAAAACATAAACAAGTGCTATCCATGAAATATATCGATATTCGAAAGCTTATTTGAGTGTTAGCTGCTTTCAATCGATAGCGTAAAGTTCTGAGTAGAGTTGAACAATGAGTCGTGCTCTCGCGAAAAAGCCAATTTACTTTAATTTACTATTAATAAATTAGAAACAAGCATCGCAAAAATTCGTGCGTGCTGTGCTGCGTTTCTTGATACCAAACATTGTTGCGACTTGAAAAGCTTCGACACGCGTCCATCTCTAATCAGAGTTGCCGCCAGCTCGTACTCACCAACACTCGTGTATGTGTCATGATTTGTAACTTTTCGTTGTGCGGTCACACCATCGCGCAGTCTCACTTCATTTTTCAAACAAGACAGTTGCTGCGCTCGATTGTCGCATTGTAAAATAAATTAAATTTTAAGTATAACGGACACCGCTGCAAACAAATTCAGATCAAAGCAATTTTGACAAGCACTTAAATATTTTGTACACAACAAATAAACAAAATCAAAACGCAAACAGCCGGTCAAGTGCGTGAGTGCGTGTCTTCCTCTGTGTGCGCCCATTCGTATGTGTGTGTGAGTCCAAGCAGAAAAAAGGATACCAAAGCAACAAGAACAACAACAGCCGCAGCTGCAACAATTTATTTATAATGGATTTCAATTTCGCCGATCTGAAAAAGGAAGCTGCCGCCACGGCCGACGACATTTTTAGCAGCGCCACCAGCGCCGCCAATGCGGCCTCCAAGAAGGTGACCGACACCTATGACGATTTGCTGGGCGACCTCAGCGCCGGCGACAGCGCTGGCAGCAGCGGCAGCGCAGCCAACGTCAGCAGCGGAGCACAGGATGATAATGCGCATACCGAAAAGTATTTTGCCAACGAGCAAAAGAATCTTGATTTCGGCGACCCGCAGGCCTTCGTGCAGCGCATGTCCGCTGGCGCCAAGGAGGCCCAGGAGCAGCTGGATGCCAAGTTTGCCCAGCAAACGGATGACTTTGGTGATTTCCTGGCGCAGACAGGCAAAGCCGCCAAGCACGGCATCGGCGAGCTGACCAGCGACTTTATGAATGTCGAGCGTGGCCTCTACGGAGATGCGCCCAAGCCAGCTGCTCCGCCGGCTGCGGTTCCAGCTGTTGCGCCCGCCGTTCCAGCTGCTCCGCCGGCTGCTGTTCCGGCTGTCGCGCCCGCTGTTCCGGCACCGCCCAAGCCAGCCAAGGAGCCGGAGGTAGATTTGATGGGCAGCTTCAGCCAGCCGATGAGCGCGCCACTGCAGCCATTTGCAGCCACGGCGCCGACGGCCAGCGATAAGTTCTATGATGACGACGATGATGACTACTTCAGCAAGCCGAATCCAGCAGCTGCAGCTGCCGTTGCCACTGCTACGGCTGCTGCCGCAGCTGCTCCAGCGCCCGTTGTGGCCAACAAGGATTCTGACACAGATTCGCCGTCCGCTTCGTATACACCGTCGCCGGCCAAGAAGCCCATTGCCGATGCCCTCAAGGAGCAGGACCATGAGCAATTCATCTCTTCCGAGGATCTGCTCAGTGACTTCAAGGAGGAACGCACAGCCACGCCGCCCGTGGCGCCCAAAGCTGCAGCGGCAGCCAGTGCACCAGCACCAACACCCATTCCGGCTCCAGCTACGGCTCCGGCTTCGGCGCTGGTCACCGATTTGGACGATGAAGAGATTGTTGTTAAACCAACACCCAAACCGGAGCCCGTCAAGCCCGCGGCCAAGCCCGTGGAGCCGCCCAAGGTCAAGGCGCCGGCACAGCAGCCCCAAAAACAACAACAGCAGCAGCAGCAGCAACAACCAAAGATTGTCTCAGTCGAGGAGATCTTCTACAAGTACGGACTTGGTGAGTGGACAAAACCCAAACAAGTTCAGCTTCGGCTAGCCGAAGATTTGATGCTCTTGCAGCGTTGCCAATTGGTATTTAGAGCATTCCACCTGCAGGTTTGGAAAATGTGTGGAATTTGTCTTATGCTCATTTTCAAAGATCTGTTTTAAGAAATCATGCGCAAAGCTTTAAAAAAAACTAGAATATTTATAGAATATCAATATGGGCTCGGTATCTATTTTTGATTTGCATTCCACCTGCAAAGATGGGAAATGGGTGGAATTTGCCTAAAGCTAATTTTCAAAGATCTCTGTTAAGAAATCATGCTCAAAGCTTTACAAAAAAATTGATGTAAATTATAGGGTATCGGTTCGACTTCTTGAAGCGAAAAAAAATTTTTTAATGGAAAAGAATTTTGATAATAATTGATAATTTCTATAATTTATATTAGCAAAATTATAAAATATTCTTTAACTGCATTTTCTAAATCTTAAAAGTGGTTGCCAAATAACTGTAATTGCTAAAAGCATCCGAGCTAATCGCTTAAACGGGTTTCCGCCACAGTCGGAAAATAGGTGAAACACAATTGGGTTCGGTCCGGGCAAAGCCGCATAATGCTGTTATTTAATATCCGATTGTGATATGATGTGCAATATCTGCTGCAAGAGCTATCAATATACATATATATTGTATTTCGTTATCATTTCGTTTCTAATTAGTTTGTGCCTGACAAATAGTCATCATTTTGTGTGTTTGTTTTTGTTAATTCCTCTGTGTATCCTCGCGACCGCACCTTGGCACCTTAGTAAACGTCACCAGGTCTGGTCACTCTGTCACCGAGTGTTGTTTTTTTTTTTTTTTATACTTGTTAGTCACTTTTTTTTATTTTAGCAGTAAACAAGTCGCTCTCTTTCCTCTCTCTCTCTCTCTCTTTTAGCCTGTGCCTTTTGCTTAGCGGCTTTGGCATTTTGGTTTTTGCGTGAATTTTGCAGCTTGCTGATGTCATCGGCATCAAGTTTTGCGCTGTTCTTTATGTACACAATAAAACAACAATGCTTAAATATATTTCATGCGCATAGAATTTCACTTGCCAAACGTTTAACGTTACGGCTGGCATTTCGCATGCAGCGTTTCGCCCCCTCGCTTTCGCTCTCACTTGCTCTTAAGAGCTTTTCATTGCAGGCGATCGTCAATCGTCATCGGCAATGTGACCAAATATCGATAACCACAAATAGCTGAAACATCGATTGAAAATATCCGTAAACTATGAGTTCACTTTCGCTTTCCATTTGTGTGATCAGACCGTTAGGTAATATGTCATTAGTCTAACACTTTTTAGAAAATTAAAAAAAAAATCGTAATTTAAATACATTTGTTAGCTTTTTCCACCTTGCAATAAATAGCGAGAATGGCAGGCAGCAGTCGAAACGGTTAAATTGCCAGCGCTGCTCGATTGACGCCTGAGTCACGGCTGCGCAATTAACTATTGAATTAGTCAATAGAAATTCTTCAAAATGGCATAGTTTCAATGTGCCGAATCTTATTTTTATTATTTCTTGTTCATGTGATGAATCAGCAGCTGTTTTTGTCTAGTTTTTTATTTCAATGACGTGTGTGCAAAGCATTCATAATTCATATTTTACATTTATTCTGTTTGTACTATTTTAGCGTGTGTCCATTAAAGCAATTACGGCAAACACACACACAGCCAAACATACACATAGGCAAAGAGCGAGAGAGCGAGAGAGGGCAGCTGCTGCTCTTTGAAGTACTCTCTAATTTAAGCCTTGCCTGCATAATTCAATTGTCTAGTTGGGGGCCCGCTTCGCTGCGCAAATTCATTTTGATATCCGTTTTCTATACCCTGCACGCAAGCGAAAAAAAGAGCTTATTGGTTTTGTGCAATGTCTGTCGATATATACCGATCATTATTTATTACACTACATAAAAGTTTTAATCAAGGACTGTGAAACTCTAGTCTTAACGTTAAACTGACAAAATCCCCTCTCAATCGGTAATTGCATGTTGTGCAGAGTAGCGCGCAGTCGGTTGCGCCCAATTTGACTTTTTGTGTTCTGCAATCTGCGCCTTTATTTTCACCGCATGCTGGCAAAATTTTCCAATTAGTAATCTGCTTTGTTTTTTTTTTCTGCGCTGCAATCGCGGCGTTGCCTTTGTCTTTATTTGCTATTTTTATGGCAAGTACATGCTAAATGGCTGCTTCACTGTCTGAATAGTCTGTCTGCCCATTTGTCTGTCAGTCTGGCATTATTTGTGCTTCTTCTTTTTCTTCCAATTGGCATTGACTTTGCTGCGGCCGCTGCTGCTGCCTGCCTTCCGCTTGTCATCGACCCAGCTGACGCCACAATATCGATAACGATAATGATTTTCTTTTACCAGTTGCTCTTTTGCGCATTGTCTTTGCCTGTGTGTGTGTGTGTAACAGTGCGGCTGATTAAAGAGATGCGTAAAAAAGCTAGTTCAGGAGGGGAAATATAGTTAAAAGAATATTGGTTGAAGAGCAAGTTAGAAGTACCCAGCTAGTATACCCTAGTATACCCTGTACTTAGTTAAGTGCTGGGAAAAAAATCGAAAACGGAGTAATATATTTGCAGCTGG